ATAAAAGTCAGTTCAAATGCTCCAATTTCACAAAATTGTTTCTGATTCAGCAGGATAAATAGAACTCTCCCACTTAAGCTTCACACAGAACTTTGCACCACTCTTATGTGCTCGTCATATTTTTCATTATTTTATAGTTATTTGTATACACATCATCTCTTGCTCCCACAGTGCCTAACAGAATGCTTTATAACATTACATAATAATAGTAATTAGGTAGTCTAAATAAATGACTTTTTTTTTGTCTAGGCAATGGGGTTAAGTGACTTGCCCAGGATCACACAGCTAGTAAGTGTTATGTGTCTGAGGCCAGATTTGAACTCAGGTCCTCCTGAATCCAGGGCCGGTGCTCTATCCACTGCAGCACCTAGCTGCCCCAATAAATGACTTTTAATTAGTGTAACTTTCATATAGATGGAATAACCTCTTGTTTTTCTACATATATTGTTAGTTTGCAAGTATCTAAAATCATCATTTTCCTGAAGTCATATTCTTTCTTAGCTGCAACTTGATCTTTCTGTCCTCCTCCATCATCCGTCCTTCATTCTCCCTCCTCTCTCTTTCTCCTGCATCATCACCACCACAGAGTTATGCAGTCTTTCAGCCTATGTAAACACATCCAAGGTCTTGGATCTTGTCGTTGTTCAGTGGTGTCTGACTCTTCATGACCCCATTTGGGGTTTTCTTTTTTCTTTTCTAGGCAATGGGGTTAAGTGACTTGCCCAAGGTCACACAGCTAGTGTCAGGTGTCTGAGGCCCAATTTGAACTCAGGGCCTTCTGACTCCAGGACTGATGCTCTATCCACTGCACCACCTACCTGCCCCTCATTTGCGGTTTTCTAGGCAAAGATTTTGTGGTTTTGTGGTTTTGCCATTTTCCCCTCCAGCTCATTTTACAGATGAGGAAAATGAGGCAAATAGGGTTAAATGACAGGGTCAAACAGCTAGTAAATGTCTGAGGCCAGATTTGAACTCACTAAGATGAGTCTTCCTGACTCCAGGCCCCGCATTCTATCCACTGGACCACCTAGCTATTTGAGGGTCCCTTGTTCCTGACCCCACTCTCGGGGGTTGTGGTATAGTGAGAAGAGGGCTGAACCTATAAACAGGAGACAGAATCTTGCCTCTGACACTTCATAGATTTGTAACTTAGCTCAAAATAACTAAACTGTTGGGGCCTCAGTTTGTGCCCAGGGTTGTTGTGATGGTGAGGCAACAAAATGTATATGAAGTACTTTGCCAATATAGCACTAAATTTATGTCAGCTATTCTGTCCACGTCCCAAGACTGAGTTCTCTGTGTTCCACCTCATTCATTTTCTTTCCCTCCCCCCTTAAAGTCCTATACTCTTGGTTCTTACTAATCTTAGCTTCTCCACTTGAGGGAGTCTTAAACCAGTATCTCCCTGCCCCATTCCAGGTGCCCTTGATGGAGAAGGAAAGGAAGCATCAGTCTGGTCTATGAAAGCTGTGGATTGAGGGTGTAGGATAGCATGATTACCATATTGGGGTGCTGGTGGAAAGGGAGAACCATCCAGGTTGGTGGCATAGGGGAACAGTCAGGACACAGGGAGAATATTCTTTGGACTCCATTATCAAATGACAGAATCCTTGTAAAGCACTTAGCACAGTGCCTGGCACATAGTAAGCACTATATAAACGTTAGCTATCATTAGCTATTATTATATGAGAATCTTGTGAAGGCTGGCTGGGGAAGAGAAAGTCAAAGACACTAGCCTAGGTACCCTCTTATCTCTTCTAACTAAGCTCTCCCAAGACCCCTAAAACAACAAAATTAAACATTTTCATGGCCAGTTTCTTTGTTTCACCCTGCCTCCAAACCAAAATAAAACAAAACAAAATCTTTGTCACCTTTTAGCTATTGTCTGACATCTCTTTTTAGGAGATAAAGTTTTTTATATTAGCATTTTAAGAGAAAAAGAGTTAAAAATACAAACACCTGGGATAGGCAATAGGTTTTTATGAATGAGTTTCAACAAAATGTAAGAGATATCAGAGTCTTTTCTTTTTAGATTAATTTTGCAGAGGTTCTTAAAATTTTTTTGTGGCATGGACTGACCTCTCTGGCAGTATGGTGACAGCCTTCTCAGAAAGTGTTTTTAAACACATATAATACATAGGATTATAAAGGAAAAAAATTATTGAAATAAAGATGTAATTGTTCCCCATCCAAGGTCATGGACTCCTTGAAATTGATCCAAGGACCCCAGGCTAAGAACCCCTGTGATAGAAGCAGTTATAAATTATACCCAAAGAGGAGAGAGAAGAGGGGGACACCAGAACAAAAATGGGACTTAAAAGGTGCCAAAGATATTTTCTCAAACCAACCTTCTGGAATCCTCATGCCTCCAGACTAAGAAGTAGCATGAAAAAAAAATCTCTTTGGCAGTAAAGAAGAATGTTTCAAGCACTTAGAAACAGACAAAAAAAATCTCTTCTGTGAACAGTCAAAGACCCTAGAACTCTCCTCAATTTCCTCTGATTAGTCAATACACCATAGGAGGGAAGCAGCAAGGATTAGCCATAATGGTGGCAGCAATTAGAGTGACATGAGGAGCAAATACATTGACAGGTAAAAAGTTGAGGGCTAGTATCCAAGAAATAGAACATTTCTGTTGTGGGGGAGGGGAGAAGGGCCTGCCTCTTAGCACAGTAAAGTATTGTGTATGGTCTGTAAAATAACGTATATATAAGCTATACCACAGAGCTTGAGATATCATAAAAATTGGTGGTGTGCTGGTAAATGTTTAACAGCCCTGCTTTCCCTCCTCCAAAAAAAAAAAAAGGTTCACAGGATACACATTTTTCCATCACTTTAGACAATCAACAAAAAATTAGTAAATCTCTGACTTATAGAATTTGCCTATTTCCAAGGTATGAATGCTCACACTGAAAGTTTAATAGTTCTGAGGTGGTAAGATCTGACTCTAGTACATCCCTGATAGCAGCTATCCTGCAACATAATACAGATGCTTATCCATATTTGTGGGAAGCTGACGACGGCATTAGTCCAAGGCCATATGATCAGGGATTAATGACACATAGCAAATTCAAGCAAAAGGCAGAGTTTTGCCAATAGGTGGGGGCTCAGAGCTATTCTACTTAGGGAAATCCATAGTAACTACAATGCTTAGAATGCTGAGATTCTCAGAGGACCGTAAAGAACCAGAACTTCTCTAGCACTCCTCCTCAGTGAGGCAGATATCACATAACTACTAGAGTGAATAGGCCTAGAGCCTAATTATTTTTGTTGAATAGGGAAAAAGGATTGTGGGTAGCAAAACCATGTTGGTGAAGCATGTATTATATAAAACTTTCCATCTTGTTAACATGTTAGAGATGCAATTTTAATGCCAACCTTGTCAGTAGTTCTGTTTTTTTTTAAATAATTCTGTTCAAAGAGATCATTAAGGACAGCATGGAGAAAACATGACTTTGTATTATGTGTTAGAAGTGTCAAGAACTCACAAGCTCCAGAGCAAATGTTTCATGGAAAACCCAAATACAAATTCTTGAAATGATAAGGAATTCTCTATACCTCATGAATAAACTTATTGCAAATAAAATTGAAAGGTAGGTACAAGTTTCCTGGGGTCCACTGCATTTGTGCAATCATAGATACTTTTTTGAGTAGTTTTGACAAGTTCAAAGGGCATTGGCAGTAAGTGGTGATGATTTTCTAAAGAGTGAGGAAGACTTGGGAGAAGGCTCCGTTAGCCTTTAACTCAGTGTTGCATAGATGGAAAAATCCCTGGAGTAGGGGTCCAAAAATCTAGTCTCAACTCCATTGCTAATTTAGTGTGACCTTAACTAAGTCAACTTCTTTGGGCCTCAGTTTTCACAAAAGTAAAATGAAGGAATTGGACTAAATAGTGTTGAAGGTAATTTCCTGCTCTAAAATCATCTGGAATTAAATCTAGTCATCTAGAAGGTTAAGCCTCAGTTGTTTAACAAAGAATTATCCAGAATAAAGGATTCATTACACATTTCTGATAGCTGAGGCCTTACTTTGCTTTCCAGACTTCACAATTTTGCCCTGAGGCTTGGCTTATCTTCATTTTAGTGGTGGACCATTGGAAACCTATAATCAGAATCACTTGACATCCTGTCTTGCTCCACATTCATGTCTCTTCATGCCCTGTGATGGCAAGCTCTAAAGTTCCTTAGCTCAGCAGACAGTGAAGTCTGCTTAAGTATTTGAAGTCTCTATTTTAGAACATGGATAAAGAAATTTTGCTTTGTTCCTAGAGAAACTTTCTCTCTTCTCATCATTCTCCATTCTCCTTTTTCTCAACCAGGTGTTGCTCATTCCATTGTGTTTACTTTTCTTCCTGCATGCCAGTCTGTGAGAATATTTGCCTATATATTTCAATTTGATTTGTCCTGTCATTTTAAAATATGAACTAAATCTTTTGTTTCTCCGGGTGGTTGTAGTCCATGAGGTCTGGGACTTGATTTTGTTAAATGCTTTCACTTTTTCAAGAATTCTTTTTTTTTAATTACTTGCCAAGAATTGAATCATTATCGTCTCTACCAACCTCAAAGATAATGAATCTGCAAGATCCATTGGAGAGTGAAAGTGTGCATATTCTGTATTTTCCTTTTTCTCAACCAGTGGTTATTCATTCTACTACATTTACTTTTCACATCTGGTGCCTTTACAAGGTGAAAGATAACCTGTGATGACAGAGTAACATTATTTTATTGGCTTGGCTCGAAAAGAAATTAAACTATAAAAAGGCTGTTGTGTCATTATGCATTCACATGGTTGCCCTCCTTTGGAATGCAGCAAGAGATCTAGGAAATTCAAATCATAAGATAGAATGATTATTACAAGAATAAATCCAAGGATATTCTAATACATCAAACAATGAAGTAGAGAAGCTATTTTGGTTGAAATAGTGAAACCCAAAATGTAGACATGGCACAATCACTAAAACTAGCAGAATTCCTAGATGGAAATTTGTGCTTGGTGAAATCATGAAGAATATTTACTGACTGATCCTCAACCTGGTCTGCTTTGCAATTCTTGTATACCTGTGGATTTTGAGAGTACATTGCTCTGTCTTAAACAGCTGTCTAAAATAATGGATAAGCAACCTAGTAAGTTATTATCATTGTTGTTATTGTTGTTGCTAGGAAATATTTATCTTATAGATTCCAGAACTTATACTACATATGTTATCTATATACATATACATACATAGATACTATATATATGTCATATGGGTATATGTAACACAGTGTTACTTATGACTAAGAGATTTATCTTTTGTACAGTGTTTTGTCTTGAGAACTTGGCTAAGGACAAAACTGTGGAGAGAAAGGACGGTTCCTTTTCCCAGATAAATCATAAAGTGTTCATAATTGTCCATTGATCCTACATCTTATCTTTTCATAGGTTTTCTTTGGGTAATGGAATAGAATTGATTTCGCTTAAATTTTTTCTGGTGAATTTAAAGAAAGTAAAATCAGTAAGTGACTGGCACACGAAGATCAGTTACCTTGTAAACTTACTAACTGCAAATTTATTTACATTTAGTTAGAAAATGAAATTGAGATTTTGCCTTCATGTGTTTCTTATAAACAGTATCACTTTTGTTGTGAAGAAAATATTAATAAATATGCTTAATATATGTCTGTTGATTGATTGTTATGACTTGGTTGTGCTAAGACAGTCACTGAGACTTGAAAAACAAATCATTTGTACCCATTAGATGCAAACATACATTCTGTGGTATATGTAAAACAATCTTTGAAAGAGTTTCTTAAAATACTATTTGAACTTAATGTCAATATCAGACCTATTAAACTATGCTACTTTGCTACCTACATGAAAGTATGGGGCAGCTAGATGATGCAGTGGATAGAGCACCAGGCCTTGAGTCAGGAAAACCTCAGTTCAAATCCAGCCTTGGGCACTTACTAGCTGTGTGACCCTGAGTAAGTCATTTAACCCCATTTGCCTCAGTTTCCTCATCTGTAAAATGAGCTGGAGAAGGGAATAGCAAACCACTCCAGTATCTTTGCCAAGAAAAACCAAAATGGGGTTATCAAGAGTTGGACACAACTGAAATGACTGAACAACATGAAAGTATAGCTGCCTTGGCACAGACTGCAGGAGACAAAGTAGAGTCTATAAAGGTGATGAAAGGTAATATAGCAAAGAGGGTCCTGGATCTGAAATCAGGGAGACCTGAGTTCAAATCCCACCTCAATCACTAGATGACCCTATGAAACATTTAATTACTTTGTGCCTCAGGTTTCTCGTTTGTAAAATGAAGGAGTTGGACTTGATGGCTTCTAGACTTCCAGCTATAAGGCTAGGCTAGTATGATTATAATAAATAACAGCTGAATCTTCCACACAGGAGCAGAAAAAAAGCACAACAAAGGAAGTGTAATAAACAAGATGGCACTTGGACCTCTAGTACTGAACTGGGTGAAGTGTGGGGTGGGGTGTGTGTGTGTGTGTGTGTGTGTGTGTGTGTGTGTGTGTGTGTGTGTATGTGTGTGTGTATAGGAGAATTAAATTGCTCAAGTTCAATATACCTCCAGGATTTTTTTTTCCTGACACCCTTTGTACTCATTAGCATTTGCTATGAGGAACATTAAGCTTTTCCAAGGAGGTTCTCAGCTACATTAATATGTTGGGACACCCATTTTCTGAAAGATATTCACAGTTGGATTTTCTACCAGGTGCCTTGCCTTGACAAAGAACAATGACACAGGACAGATTTTATAGAACTAGCCTAAGATACATAACACATATGAGCTGGGAGGGTTCTTAGAGATTACATAGTACAACCCTTTCATTTTACAGTAGAAGAAATTGAGGCCCAGAAAATTTCCTAAAGGAGCAGGGCAGGCACCAGAACCCAGATGTCCTGATTCCTATGATCTTTCCACAGTATCTTATAAGACTCATCAGAAATTTTTTTTCTTAACCTGATTCTTCTACTTTTAGCTCTGTGACTTTGAGTCAGTTTACTAAATTGTAAAAATAGGTATAATAAAAACAGGTCCATAGATTTAGAGCTGGCAAGGACCTTAACAGTCAGTGACCTGCCCAAGGTCACTGGTGTTCAAGCCCAGGCCATCTAAGTTGGCCACAGCTCAGGATTCTTTCCACTGTAAGGATTTTGTTTTTCTTTTCTTTTATCCCAATTGAAGGATGGTGGGAGAAAAAAAATAAATGCCTGTTAATTGAAAAAAAAGTTGAAAATCATGTAAGCTATATTATATAGAAGTACTTGGTGAGCCATAAAGCAGTATGTAAATATAAGGACTATTTTGAAATACTACCTTTAAATGTCCATTACTATAGTAAACAAACTAAAGATAGAGCCCTTTTGTCTAGAAACCTCAATGAAAAAGTATTGAGGACCTAGTATGTGTTTCAAATTGTATTAGGAACTGTGAGGGATACAAAAATACATGACTGGGTCTCTGCACTCCAGAAGTTTGCCATTTTGTTGAGGGAAAAAAAGATTTAAGCACATAAAGCTAACTGAGGACTTTACAAAGATATGGCTATACTTTTATAAAGCTATAAGGAGAGAGATGGCATAAATTTCTCTTTTTTCTTTAAAATTTTCTGAGAAATGTAAGCACATTGGCTACAGCATTGTCATTCATATTCATGGAAAGGAAAGAATATTGTTCTACTTTGTCAATTATTGTAGGCTTTCTAAAAGAAGTCAAGCTTGAATTGAATGAAAAGCAGGTGACTGAGAAGAAAGGAAGAGAAAATACCTGCCTCATTAAAATGTGAGTTCCTTAAGGACAGGGACAGTTTGTTGGTTTGTGTTTTGCTTTTCTACACATTTGCCACACAGCATAGTTCTGTGCACATAGGAAACAATAAATGCTTGTTCACTGAGTGACCCATTTACCTTTGTTTATGATAAAAGGGACATGTGAGATAGAAGGACCTGAGAGGAGAATGACTTGATTGCAACAGAGAGAACTGGAGGAATTAGTTTGTGAAAAACTAGTATAGGTTCTCAAAGTCCAACATGATTAATAACTTGAGTGGAGTTCATCAAAAATTAATGAAGATTCTGAGGAGGAAGAAAATTCTTGGAAAGATCTATCTGTTTTACATGAAATCCACAAAACTGACTCACATGAGATGCTACTTTACTCACTCCATTCAGGCTTCCAAGAACGTCCATCAGAATGACTTCATAGGGTTATAATGCTAATTTGTGGCTACCAAGAAATGTCTGGGTTATATCATTCTTTGAAATGAATGCAGTTCAGGTTGGTGTCATGGAAAGAAAAGTAGACTTGGGAGTCAGGAGATATTTAAGTTAAAATTCTGACTGATACAAGCTGTGTGACTGTGGGAAAGTTACCTTCTAAGCCTCAATTTCCTCAAATGTAAACGGAGGTTAATAACATTATGTGTACCACCTGCCTTGCATGGTTATTGTGAATAAATCACCCTCTGTGTTAGCTTTAAAGTGCTATATAAAATGAGTTGTTATTACAAATTAATTTCCTGGACTTGCTCTTTGTTGTTTAGAAGAAGCAAAGGACTTCCAGGAGCCAAGATGGCAGAGTAAACAGTAAATCACTACAACTCTCCTATATTCACCTCCAAGCAACCATAAAATAGTGCCCCCAAGCAAATCCTGGAGTAGCAGTACCAGAAAAAAGATGGGGTGAAACAATTTTTGAGCCCAAGAAACTTGGAAGATCAGCAGGAAAGGTGTGTCTCACTCAGCAGTAGATCCTGAGCCCTTACGTGGTGGAACAGACAAACACCAACACCGGGACCTCCCACCTGCCTCAGCATAGCCAGGAGAATGGGCAGACTCCAGTTCTGAGAGCCATCACATGCTTCAGCATAGCTTCAGGTAAAGAAGCAACCTCCAGAAGCCAGACCTCTCTGTGCCTCAGTGAAGCCAGGGGCAAACAGGTAAATGCTATAACCCTAGGATGCCCAAGCAAACAGGCAGATCCCAAGCCAGGGCCTCTGCCATGTGCTTCTACATAGCACTGGGCAAACAGGCAGCTGCCAGCAGCCAGACTGCCACCTGCTTCAGTGTAGTTCTGGGGAAATACAGAAACACCACACTGGCCTTAGCATATGCCGGACACTACCACTAGGATCCTGGCTCAGCAGCAGGTAAGCTGCGAAACCCCTATGGCCTCCAGCAGTGCCAGCCACCACTCACATAATCCCCTCAGCACAGTACCAGACACGAGGGTCTCAAGTGGGCCTCAGGGCAACATCAGTGCTGTACCAGGTAAATAGCCAGTGCCCATAGCCCCTGGCACAAGAAGCCTGAGACAGTGCTCCTTCCACCCTGGGAGCAGAGCTCAAATTTAAAAGTAAGGAAAAAGGCCAAAAAAGATGAGCAAAAAACAGTGAAAAAAAGAATCTGACCATAGGAAACAAAAACATAGGGTGACAAATGTTATTAACAATACAGTTATTTTTTTCTTGAAATTGGGTCTATCCAAAAAAATTTGGACTATTCCTCTCACAGGGGCAATCTGTTCTGTGCATTTTCACTGGCTTTACCCCATGCCTGGAATACTCGCCCTCCTCATCTCAGCTTCTTGGCTTACAAACAACAATCTTGTCTTTCCAGTGCCTTCTCTCCTTTAATTATTAAATTGTGAGCTCCTCAGGGGCTTTTATCTTTAGCGCCATCTTGTATTCCCAGGGCTTACTCCCCCCACTCCAACTTTCCTATTATTGTACTTTTTGATCCAGTAACACTAGCCTCCTTTCTGTCCACAAACAAGACATCTCTTATCTCCAAGCATTTTCTTTGGCTGTCTCCCATGTCTAGAATTCTCTCCCTCTCTTAATCCTGGACTCTTGACTTCCAGGCTCCCTTCAAATCCCAACTAAAATCCCATCTTCCATAGGAACTCTTTCCCAATCCCTCTCAATTCTAATGCCCTCTCTCTTAATTTTTCCTGTCTATCCTGTATATAGCTTGTTTGTACATATTCTTTTTGCCTCCTCCATTAGATTGTGTACTCTTTGAGGGCAATGACTGTCTTTTGCCTCTTTTTGTATCTCCAGCACTGAGCGTAATGTCTGGCACATAGAAGGCAATTAAAAGATGTTTACTGACTGATATGTGGGAAATCTGAGGAATAATGAAAGTGTGTTTTAATCAGATCACATATTGAATTTGCATCTGTGCCTTTATCATTGTAATTTATAAGAAAACAAAATAAAACATGCTTCAGCTATGTACCCGAATACTACCTCATCTGTATCTTGGGACAGTTTTCTGCTGATCGATGGCAAAGGGTTTCTTTAGTCCAATGCTGAGCATTTTCTGGATGTTTCCTTGAATAGTGCTCAACCACACATCACGTTCAATGTGAAGAATTCTCAAATAGTGCCCCTTCAGATATCACTTTTACTGACTTTTTGTTCATGATTAGTGGTTATAAACAGTTATATGCCTTCTTAGGTGCCCAAAAATGTATTATTTCTGTCAGGCTAAGTGAGAAAGTATAGGATCTAACCTCATAGTGTGCGTTACTTTACGTTACAAGGTGTGGTACAAATGCTATTTGTTCAATTAATAGGATTACAAATATAGAGCTGGTCCAGCCAACTCATTTTGCAGATGAGGAAACTGAGGCTCTGAGTGGTTCAGTGCTTTGCCCAAGATCACATAGGCCATAAATACAAGGGGTGGGATTCAAATCCAAATCCTCTGACTCTAGAATCAGTATTATTTCCACTGCTTCTATTCAATTTGACATCTATTGAAATGGGAAAGGAACTATGCTTGGCATGGAAATACAAGGGCAAAAGTGAAACAAGTTCCTCCCCTTAGGAGCTTTCATTCTATTGGATCAGGGGTACAAAATGTATGCAAATAAGTAAATATAAAGGATATTTAAATTTACACATGAAAGTAGGTTTAGGGATAGACCTGTGATTTCATTGCTGTGCAATGAAGAGACTTTCTTTCACCAATACATATTGTTACAGCCTTAGACAGTTGCCTAAGGTGCTGTGGGTTTAGCTTGTGCTAAAATCCCACACGATAAATAGGAGTGAGAGATGTGACTTGAACTGAGGTTTTCCTGGCTTGAGATCAGCTCTTTATCCATGATGCCACACTGCTTCTCTTTTGTAGAATAATAAAAAGTAATTTCAAGAAGGAGTAAATGCTTTAAAAAATACAGAATATTATATGAATTTGAATAACTGAGGCAATAGTTATTCCAGGAAGTTTTTATTTTGAAAAGTGTGGTAAATGTTTTTAAAATTAAGTTATCTATATTTACACCCTCTTTGTTTCTAGGACAGCCAGTCTGACATTGTCTCACCATAAAATATGTGTGATCTGGTGAGTAATAGCTTCTATTATCAAATATATTATGATGTCCCACATTGGCAGTAATGGTAAGATCATAAATTAGGGTGGGAAGGGATACTAGGGACCATATAGTCCAATCTGTTCATTTTACAGATGGAAAGTGAGGCCTAAGAAGTGACATGATTGATTCAAGACCATGCATCTCATAAAATTATAAAATTATGAAATGTTAAGAGTGGGAAGGACCTCAAACCTTATGCAATTTCATGTGTAATTCACCCTATTATGAAGCTGAGTAAATTGAGGCCTAGGGTGGTTAAGTGACTTACCCAAAGACACTCAACTAATAAGTAGTAGAGCCAGGATTCAAACGGGTCTCCTGACTCCAAATTCAGTTGTCTTTCCACACTGTACAATGGTGATACCTTATTATAAATGACAAAAGAGACATCTGCTATCTTCTTGGAGTATGTGTCCAAGATGAAACAAAGAACTTCTAAGACTTGTCAAATTGCATGGCTAAAATCCTCTTATGATAATTCACATGGGCACAAATCATATGGCTAGAAAGAACCATGAAAAAATTGTTAAAGCTTATAAAAGCTTAGACCAAAAAAAATAGAAAAATGTGAGGAGCATAAGTGGTATTTTTATTATTGCTCCCCACCAAAGGTAAGGGATATAGAAAAAAAGAAATGATTAATTGGAATGAGAAGATAGATTTGGATTTCTGGACTATGACTTAAAATACAGGAATGAAAGGATGCTGTCAATGGATGGAATACAACTCACAAGGGCTGGTAAGGATGCATTTGCCCATGGTCTCACAAACAAAATCAAAAGGCTTTAAACTGAAAAGGAAAAGGGAAGGGAAAAATAGGTAGATAGATATAGATAGATGTATATGGATACAGATGTATACACACACACACACACACACACACACACACACACACACACAAACTGTTTTCCACAGATAGTCTGTGTATGTATTTACTGTTTTCCAGAGATAGTAGCTATAATTTAGTAAGAATAACAGTTAAAACATTCAGAAGTTCAAAGGAGACAGATCAAAGAAAGAAGCAAGTAATAAAACTCATGACTTCAAATGTCGATGCACAAATTGAGGAAGTATGAATAACAAGCCAGGTGAATTGCAAAGCCAGACTAAAAAAGCAGATGTGATTTCTTATGGTATCTTTGTTTCTTGATGGGATGAGACCAATGGCTCTAGATGGGCATTACTTAAATAAAGGAAAGGAGATAGCTATAAGGAGCTCACAGAGTAGCAGTGTATGTTAAGATTTACTCATGTTGGGGCAGTGGTTAGAGCACTGGTCCTGGAGTCAGGAGGACCTGAATTCAAATCCGGCCTCAGACACTTAACACTTACTAGCTGTGTGACCCTGGGCAAGTCACTTAACCCCATTGCCTAGGCAAAATATATATGTGTATATGTATGTATACATGTATGTATATATACATATATACATACATGTATACATACATATACACATATATGTATATATACACATATACACGCACACACACACACATATTTACTCATATAAAGACTGGAAAAGCCAGGTAGATAGAGAACATTCAAGTGAAAGAAACAAACATCCCTGGAGTATACTTCAGACCCTAGACAAAAAGCATGAGTGTTCCAGGAAAGAGATTATAAGTCTTCAACAGAAGCATGCTCAAGTAGTGATTAAAACTTGAATTATCTAGACATTTGCTTGAGTGCTCTCTCTCTCTCTCTGTCTCCCTCTCTCTCTCTCTCTCTCTCTCTCTCTCTCTCTCTCTCTCTCTCTCTCTCTCTCTCTCCCTCTCTCTCCCTCTCCCCCCTCCCCCCCCCTCTAACACACACACACACCCCTCCCTTCTTTCTCCCCCTAAAAGAGCAGCTCTTATTTTTTTTGGGGGGGGGGGAGAGGCTGGATTTTCTTCATATTTGTTGTCGTTGTTCAATTGTGTCTGATTCTTTGTTGACCCCGTTTGGGTTTTTCTTGGCAAAGATACTGAGGTGGTTGCCATTTCCCCTTCTATGTCATTTTACAGATGAGGAAACTGAGGCAAACAGGGTTAAATGACCTGCCCAGGGTCACACAGCTAATGAGTGTCTGAGGGTGGATTTGAACTCAGGTCTTCCTGACTCCAGGCCTGGAAGTAGATTCACTGCAACACCTAGCTGCTCTATCTTCTTGTATTTCAACTGAAACAGTATATTCACAACAGATTGGATGTAGGAGCAGATATGAGAATCTAGCTGTCTTCTATTAAGCCAGACGTTAAAGAGACTTGCAAAAATATGCCACTCTTCTCACTATTTTCTTTTTTGTTTTAGAATATGTTTTTTTCATAAAACATATATTATGTTAACACATATTGGGTTTATTATTGTTATTTTAAAATGAATTAATAAGTATTTAAAAATTTTATTAGTTTTAATTTCTATATATATAATATATATGTATATATGTATATATATGTGTGTGTATATATATATAAAACTCATATAAATAAAAGATCTTTAAGGTCCTCAATAATTTTTAAGCATGTACAGAGGTCCTGAGACCAAAAAGTTTGAGAACTGCTGGGCTAGATGACCTCAGCTTTAAAGTTATAAGATTCTTTTACTTTTCTCCACATTTGAAGGCTTAAGCTTAGATGGTATCTTTATAGAAAATGATTTAATGAATTAATGAATCAATTAACTCCTTAAACATTGAAGTGTCAATTATGAGTCAAGTATTAGAGATGCAAAGATAAAAAATGTGAGCATATCAATAAAATGCATTTATGATAAACATACATATTTTAATTAAATAGTGCTTCTAAAATGCTTGAAAATAATTTAAATTTTTAAAATACCCCCTGGCATTATTCAAGCTTGTAAGCTCCTTCAGGGTAGCACCAATGTTTTATTTATCATTGTATTAGCA